TACAATAGATTTTCAGATACTATTTTTAGAACTGTTAGTATTGTAGCATTAATTAATACAACAGACTTTCAGAGTTTGGTGAATAGTGGTATGAGTGAACTGAACAAGTGGGTTAATTTAATCTAAGTTTATGAAAAACATGATCAGAGAGTTAAATGTCTCCCCCAGAACACCTAGGAAGTAAGTTATAGAACTAACCTAGATCTCAGCTGTTCTGTGTCCAAGTCAAGGTTCTTTGGTGTCTCGTCCTAAAAAAGGACAAGCTAATAAGTCTCAACTTGGTTCCGAGTCATGAAAACTTACATTGATCAAAATATATCAGAAAAGATGAAATCTGTATGATCTTAACAGTCCCAACTAATATACTGTTACTAATTGGTTCCTAAATGCACTGCTTTATATTAAGATTTATTTTAAATCAGATTTGCAAGAATTATCATGTGGTTGATATCCAGTGATGTTCTGATGAAAATTAACTTTCTGTAAGTTGATCTGGAATATTACTGATATTTCCCATCTTTTTAGCATATAATTTATCTTTCTACTGAATCCTTAATAGTACTTAGGATTAGATTTTCACTGCAAAAACTTGAACAATCATGTTTTTCTTCCAATCTTTAAACAATTTTTTCTAGTAAAAAATTAATATGTTTTTATTATGGAAAAGTAATTTAAAAATCACCAGCATTACCAGGGTTTTCACTGTTGGAATGAAAGTTTACAGATAAACAAGGGAAAGGGGCTATAATGATCTATGTGGCAATAGACTAGAGTTGAAGGCATCAGTATAAACATTTAATTTAATATTGATACAGATTGTTATATATAGGATTATTTACAAATATGCAGATGCATGGACTATTATGCCCAGTGAATTTTCTTGCTCTGTCAGCTGAGAGGGTTTAGGAGCAATGCCACTCCAATAGGAACCAGCATATCTAGCACCCAGATCTTTGTTTCTACTATCATTCTCCAATAAAACAAACTAGGAAGACATAATTGATTCTAGGAAGGGCACAAGAAAGATATGCAAAATGAACCTAAAACATTCTGTAGTACCAGAAATAAATGAATTTTTAAAGAAACTCATAATAGTGGTGTGTCAAAGGGACACAGCAGTCAACTTAAAGAGTTGTCATTGGCCAAAGGTGAAACGAAGTGAGCAACAAAGTTATACTGAATTATAAACTCAAAGTAAAAACCAAATATCCAGAAATACCCATGAGTCTATATTTATATAAATGACTGATTGAATAGGGAAAATAGACAAATATTTTATACACAAGAATTCCAAATAACTTACGTAAACTCCAGCCTCAAGGAGGAGGGAGGTGGAGACTAATTCCCCACTCCTTAAGTGTAAGCTGCACGTAGAGACTTCCCTCCAAAAAATACAGTATGAAAGATGGTAAAAAGATTAACTTTCCAGTGGGGAAGACTGACAATCACTACTTCAGGTGAGTGATCAAGGTTCACATCAACAATGATAAGTCACTTTGATAAAATGTACGCTTGATATGATGTGATGAGAATGGCATTTTAACCTGCCTTCTCAAAACTCCTAACCCCAGTCTAATCATGAGAATAATATCAGACAATTCTCAATGGAAGTACATTCTACAAAATGTCTGACCAATATGCCTCAAAACTGTCAAGGTTATCAAAAACAAAGTCTGACAAACTGTCATAGCCAAAAGGGGCCTAAGGAGCCACAACAACTAAATGTAATGTAGTATCCAGGATGGGATCCTGGAATAGAAAAAAGACAAGAGATATACGCTAAGGCAATCTGAATAAAGTATGAATTTCAACTAATAATGTATCAATATTGGTTCATTAATTGTAACAAATGTACTATACTAATGTTAGATATCAATAATAGGAAAACTGAGTGGGGGTTATAAGGGAACTTTCTGTACTATCTGTAAATTTCCTTTAACCTAAAACTGTCCTAAAATTCAGAAGCATGTTTTTTAATCACCCATAGTCCCATCATCTAGCAATAAACAGAAAAATTGTAAAGCATGCTTCATCTTTTTCTGAATGTATATTTTTATTTTTCAAAGTTGTAGAGCATGCTTCATCTTTTTCTGAATGCACTATTTTTCAAAGTACTACACATAATTTTTCAGTTAACATTTAGTGAGTGTATTTTCATGCTATTATAATTCTAAAACATGACTTATACTTGTATGGAATAGTTCATCTTAGAGATGTACCATATATTATTTAGTCAACTATGTAATGAAATCTTTATTTTTTCCCTAATTCCGTTGAAATTTATTGAAGAAGAAAGTGTGAGAAATGGAGAGAACAAGAGGAAATAATACTGGCATATTTGCTCATTGTGAGAAGACAGTCGGCTGCCTGACACTACAAGGGAAAATGCAATGGGCTGAGGAACAGGACAACCCGACACTTGTCTCAACTTCACAAAGAACTCTGAGTGTACCCTCAAAATCACTTAATCTCTACAGTCCCTGATGTTCTTATTTATAAAATGAATTTTATAACTTATTCAACAGTATCTGCTTCTAAAATCTATTACTATATATTTTGCAAAAAGGCTATTAGTAAATTTAATGTAAAGGATATGACCAAGCACATTTAATATAATAAGGAGAGTGTAGAAAGTGGGTGATAGATATATTTCCTCTTTGCTGTATAGCCAAAAATGTCCCATCACGTGGCATTAGTGGAATACATTATATGAAGTGACATGGAGATCTGACAACTGGATACAAAAGGAACTTTTCCTACTGAAGAAAGACTAGTCTAAGAATGCTGCAAAGAGATTGAGTTCAGATGAACACAAGAAAAGGCAGGCTAACAATAGAATGGGTTTCCTAGAAAAATGTATGATTTCTTAGATGTGGAAAATGTTGTAGCCTCGGTCAGATAGCGAACTGTCAAGGATATTATAGAAATGTTTCCTGTATTCAGTAGGAATTCAAACAGAATGGTCACCAAGGTCACTTTCAATTTTAAAAGGGATTTTTCTGTAATTTTATATTTGACACCCTCCTTAAGCTGCTTGTCCTTAAGCACCGTCCCTGTTTCTAAGCTCTCTGCTGTCTCATTGGTCTCTTAAGTGAAGAATCAATTCCACTAGAAAAAAAAGCCATATATTAAGACAAGGAGTCCTTCAGCTTGTTTGTATGCATAGTTGCATACCACTCTAAGCATTTAATAAAGAATGGGCACTTTCAACGTTATTAAGAAGTGTGCACGAAACATTTCTTGAAACTCAATCTTCTCTATGGAATCATTCCAAAAAGAACAAAAAACTTTGGAAAGCAGGTCTCCAGTTCACAATCAAACTTCAGAATTTATCCTCAAGATTTCTTCATATTCTTTCTAGAACATTAACTTGTGAAAGCCCCAATAGGTAAAAGATAACACATACACACAAACACACACACACACACACACACACACACACATACACACACACATCAATATTAAAGTTTTTGAAGTTGACCTGATCTGAAGCTGAGAATTCCTTAGAATTCCTCACCTGCACATTTTGTTTTCTACAAGTGATTCCAAGGTGTTTTCCCTTACCCACTCATCTCTTTGATGTGTGTCTAAAAGTGTTTGTACCCTGGGATTCCACTCACGGGAGAAAATAAGCCTAAACTATATGGCTTTAAACAGTCCTCAGGGATGGAGCAGAAGGGGATTATGGGGGGAAGGGAACTGAAACCAGCTTTAAGAACTTTCTGTCCTTAAATCTCAAAGTACAAAAAAGTGAATGTAATATTTTATGAGAAGCCATATATTGCCGTAGATCTTCCCTTTACACACACCTTTACACACACACACACACACACACACACACACACACACACACACACTACACAGGCGGCTGCTATTGACAAATGCCTCCTCTCCAGCCACCAGAGGAAGAAAGGTATCCATCGGTCCCAACGCACCAGGAGAGATGGGGTCTCCGGCAGCCCTCAGCTGCAGCTGACTAGTCTGTGGAACGACAGCACAGCGTGGAAGGTGTTGCAAGGAAATCCCTTGCATGCTTTGTGGTATGTTAAAAATGCAGCATCATCCTCTCTGCTTCTTTTCTTCGCCGAAAAGCAGAACTGGAGGGCACAGGGAAACTGGAGGGGCAAGAAGGCTGCTTCCTGCAGTCCCGGAGCCCTGCCTCTCCACGCCCACTCCTTCTTGGGCGCTAATTGTCCCTGCTCCAATGGGCCATCAGTACCTTCACCATTTCCTCTTCCATTCACTCCAGCGAGGAGGGAAGAGTGAACACAAAACTCTAAAAATAACTGTCAGCATCTTAAAAAAAAAAGAAAAGAAAAGAAAGAAAGAAAGAAAGAAAGAAAGAAAGAAAGAAAGAAAGAAAGAAAGAAAGAAAGAAAGAAAGAAAAAGAAAAAGAAAAGGGGGGGGAAGCTCAGCTGCCCCCTCCACCGCGCTCCCGCCCTTCTCCTCTCCCTCCTCCCCCTCCTCCTCATGGGGCACATGTCTGCTTCTTACAACACCGAGGCACATGGTTCCAGTTGGGCACCGAACCCCACCAGGACAGAGAGGAAATCCACATCTGTGGGACGCTCCGCACGGAACCACCTCCAGCAAGGGAGGCCAGGGGACTGCAGCACCGAGATGAAGGGCTAGACCGAGGGACGCTGCTCATGCGGTGAGGGCGCGCGCGGGAG